AAAATGTCTGAATTGGAAATGTCTAGCTCAATTGATTCAGTAGATTTAAAAGTGCGGTTAAATAAATATGGATACAAGTATAAATTTATTAAATTATCAGAACTGGCAGCTGACAAAAGATATGAAGTTACTGCTTTTGAACTTGTTAACATTAATGGGCAGGATAAAGTATCTGTTGTATTGGATAATAAATATAAGCTCATTTTACCAGATAGATTTTTTAAAACTATTTCTGAAAATATATATGAAATGAATAATAAAGAGTGGTCCTTTACCTTTATTACAGGTATAAAAAAAATACTTGATAATGGAGATTCATACCATCGTATAGAGTTTGAAGGTAATTCTTTTGACACTACTGTAATTAAAGTATTAAAGAAATTAAATGAAGAAGATTACAAATACAAATATACAAAATTATCTGATTTAAATATCAATGAACTTTATAAAATAACAACAATTACAAAAGTAGATACAAAATATGGTGAAAGAGTTTCTGTTTTATTAAACATTATGGATATGCTATTATTGCCCCAGAGGTTTGTTAATATTATTTCTGAGTTAGTTATAGACAGATATGATGGCGAAATGTATATGAAATATAAGGCTAAAAAAACTCTTGATAATAGGAAAACAATCCATTTGATAGAATTCGAATAGTTGCAAAAAACTATTAACATTTTTTTTTTTTTTTTTGTTATTAAATGAAATTAATCAAAATCATAAATGGGTCTATTCATTTCGAACCTTATATGCATAATGAAAACAATAGTATGTGTATTGGATTATATGCTTTGTCATTTGCTAACTCTGGTGATTTAGTCAAAATAGAAAATGATTCTTCTTCTTCTTAGGCTTAAAACAGACCATTTAGGTCTAATGCCGCTTCTACAATACCTCTCCAATGCATTCTATCCACTGCCAAATTAATGTTATAAGTAGGGTCCACTCTTGTCAAATCTTTCTTGACTGTATCGAACCATCTTTGCCGTTGCCTCTCTATTGGTCTTTTTCCATTCATCTTTCCATCGATCACTTTTCTTATAAGACATCCTTCTGCACGCCACACATGTCCAGCCCATTCTAGTCTTTTGCTACTAAGAAATTTTCAGATGTTCGGTTTATTATAGAGTTTTTGTAAATCTTCATTTTTCCTTCTTTCGAAAACTCCTAGGTTTACATTAAACACTGGACCATAGATTCTCCTTAGTATTTTTCTTTCAAAGATGGCTTATGCTTCATCACCCTTTGTGCTCGCCCACGTCTCGCATGCATACGTCGCTATTGGCCGCAAATAGGTTACGTATAATCTTTCCTTTGTTCGTCGCGACAGTAACTTCGACGTGAACATATCTTTCATTCCATAATAGCTTTTGTTTGCCATCATCAATCTGATCTTTATCTCCTCATGCATGTTATTTTCCTCATTAATGTTCACCCCTAGATATTTAAACTCTTTTACTTGTTCGAAAGAATATCCGTATATCTTGAGATTGCTCTTCGGGGTTACTTGTCTTGACATAACCATGTATTTTGTCTTCTCCTCGTTAACTATTAAACCCATGTTTTGACTTGCTTTAAATAATTTTTCCGCACTAGTTTTTATATCATTTGTAGATGATCCTAAAATTACTAAGTTATCTGCATATGCTAGAATAGTATTTATCCCAACCAATTCCATTTCTCGTTTTTCATGCATGTCCCTTATTACTTGTTCCAAGGCAAAATTGAATAGTATTGGAGATAGTGCGTCTCCCTGTCTTAAGCCGGTTTTGCATTCGAATGCTTCAGAGGTCTCCCCCATAAAACGCACTTTGCAGTATGTCTGTTGGTTACAGATCTCAAATAGTCTCACCAATTCCCTTGGTATGCCGAAATTTCTTAGTGTTGTCCAGAGTTGGTCGCGGTCAATACTGTCATATGCTTGCTTGAAGTCTACAAAAAGAATTTGAAGGTCTCTATTATATTCGTAGAATTTTTCCATTACTTGTCTTATTGTGAATATGTGATCCGTTGTAGATTTTCCTCTTCTGAAACCAGTTTGATACTCTGTTAGGATGTCTTTCACATATATTTCTAATCTTCTTAGCAATTCCATCGATAAAATTTTGAAAGCTGTATCTAATAAGGAAATTCCGCGGTAGTTTGATACGATACCAGAGTCTCCTTTTTTGAATATTGGACAGATTATCCCGGTTTTCCAATCTGTTGGGATCTGTTCCTTGTGCCATATTTCTCTAATTAATGATTGTAATTCTATAATTAAGTCTTTTCCTGCTGTTTTGAGTAATTCGGAGTTTATGTCATCTTCTCCTGGAGCTTTGTTATTTTTGAGGTTTGTGATAATATACTCTATCTCTGTAAGATCAGGCTCTTTGCATTCCGGTTCGGCCGTTTGATAAGGCAGTTCTTCATACTTGGTCCTATTACTGTTATTTGTTTGGTTCGTATTAAGTAGCGTATTAAAATGTTTTCTGAAGTGCTGTACGATTTCTCTCGGTTACGAAAGGAGATCATTCTGATCATTTTTTAAGAAAAGTGTTTGTGGTTTGAAACCCTGTTTGAGTCATTTACAGTGTTGTTCCTCTCTCCCTCAAGTTCTTTAAGTGCTTTCTTCTCATATCGTCTTTTTTGTCTTCTAATTGTCTTGTTTGTTAACTCCTTGAGGTGTATATATATATATATATATATCTCTTGGTTCTCTTGTGATGGGTTGTGTATCATTTGCATGCGAGCCTCATTGCGTTTTTTTACTGTTTCCATACACTCATTATTGAACCAGTGTTTTTTCTTATTGTGATTGGGTTTTTCTTTGAGATTTTTTGAAGCCGAGGTAATAGCTTTTTTGATATTTGTCCATTTGGTTTCGTGATTAGGAATTATGTTTTCCACCTTTTCGTTTGTAATACAGAGTTCTTCGGGAATTCTTTTCCTATACTGTGCGATTTCCAAAGGGTTTTTAAGCCTGTCTACATTTAACATATTTGTACTCTTCCTATGTTTATTCTCTTTCCAAAGAGTTGATAGTTTTTCAGTAAGAGTTGCTACTACTAGATAATGGTTGGTATCTGCGTCTACTCCTCTGTAGCTCCTAACGTTACTGAACCATGACCGGTGTTTATTATCTATCATTACGTGATCGATTTGATTTTTGGTTACCGCGTCGGGAGATATTTATATTTGCTTGTTTATGTCCGTTCTCTGGAAATAAGTACTGCTTATTATAATTCCATTGGACATCGCGAAATGTATGAGACGAGCTCCATTATCATTGGATATACTATAATGGAGACTTTCCTTACCGATAGTAGGTCTGTATATATTTTCCCGTCCAATTTTTGCATTCATGTCTCCCAATATAATTTTGATAGCGTTGTACACCTGCCCCAGTTCATCATAAAATATGTCTTTGGTTTCTCCATATTTTTCTTCAGTCGGTGCGTGACAGCTAAATATTATTATAATTTGCTCCTTTATTTTCAAGCGTATGTAAGCATATACACTCATTTATAGCTTCAAAACTTTTAACATTCTCTAATAGTCTATTATTTAATAAAAATAATAGAAAATTATTGTCAGATAACAATTAACACTAACGTAATTGACATCAAAAGTGGGCTTTATACTGTTGAAAAGTTAAATAAATTAATAAAACCATTAATTATCTCTTTTGTTGATAAAAAAATTAAAATAGAGTCTCCCATGTTACTATAATCTAGATGAAAAATTAAAAAATTTAGGTTTTAAAGACATAGGTATATTATTTTGCAATGACAAGTGACAAAAAAATTTACTATCCCACTATATAGTGATGAATATTACATAAATATTGAACAGGAATGTGAGTTTAAAATAGAAAAATATTCACATAAAATACCTATTGTATATTCTACTAATGAACTTCAAAATTTATTAAATCCAGACAAGAACGTTGTTAATACTAAAATTACAGTGGTTAATAATTATTTAGTGATTTCAACTAACTATGGGTATGTTTTTGACTCTTATTTAACTAATTGTTTAGGAATTCCATTGTTTAGTTCTTCTTCAAATTATAAAACTGAACAATCATTTAAACGAACTGTAAATGGTACACTAATGCCAAAATTTTACACTCAAGGTTTCCTAAAAGAAATAAATGGTGTTATTGTAACAGAAAATAGCAAAACTATATTAGGAAAGAAAAATTATACTATTGGTCAATTAAATAATATACTACCATCAAGTATAAAAATATTAGAAACAAATAACTATATTACAATTAATTCTAATGTTTATTATTTATTGGATGAGAATTTAACATCAAGCCTTGGATTAGGTAAAAAATATATCCATAAACATATTTTTTTCAGATGTTATATTCAGTAATTATTTTGAAAATAAGTTTATTGAAGTACATTGTAATATAATTGAAACATCCATTTCTACCCATAAAACTGAGCAATATATGCATACAGAGGGTGATATTTTAGGTGTTATTAAATGTGATAAGGACGGCCAATATATAATTGAAGGGCTCCGTGCAACAACGAGACAAGTCCACTTTTTTTCAAAAGTCACTTTTTGATGTTATCATAAACAGATTTTTTTTCTTTACAATTGTGTGCAACAACAAGACATGTCCAATGATTATCTACGGAGTTATTGAGTAAATGGACTTGTCTGGTTTAAGATATTATGAGCAAGAACCAGACAAGTCCGGACTTGTCTGGTTTTTGCGCAGAACTGTTGGCTACACTGAAAAATAGTATATAGTTAGTAGATAGTAGTCATATTTTCCTTATTATCATTTATAATTATTATTATTATTATAAAAAAATTACCTACCATAGAATTAATCGTTACATTCGTTAGTATTTGGAATTTTGTTTCTATTTCTAGTCGTAAATAATAAGACTGATTATAAAATGTTAATGTTAATGTATTGTTTTTACTTTTATTTAGTTGCTGTAACGGGCATAGTGTTATTTATTTTCTTTATAGTTATTTTATTTTTCAAAATGAACTGTGATAATATAGCAAAACAACTTGAATATGATGAATCTTTTTCTGACTCATCATTTGATGATGACATTCAAGATCCAGATTACATAATTATTGAAAATGACGAACTCGGAGGCATACTGGCTTTTGATTCTGACCCAGATGATAATTTTGAACTACTTCCAACGACACCCTCAGGATCAGTTAATATTATATCAGAATCCAGTGAAGATGAACAACCTATATCTATTCGTAATGGTAAGAAAAGAATAAATAATAAATCAAATTGGAAACGTAAAATCACAAAAAAGAGTAGGTCTGATGGTATTGAACATAATTCTTTGCGTGACAAAATTGTTCCACCTAGAACTACAGGCCCTGACTGTCACTGTAATAAAGAATGTTTCACTAATGTATCGGATGACCAAAAAACCAACTTACTTGTAACATTTAATAATATAGGTGATAAGAATAAACAAGATACATATTTGGCTGGATTAATTAGGGTCAACCCTGTTATTCGTCAAAGGAAGAGAGATGGTAGTCGATCAAGTAAAACGTGTTCTGTAAAATATGAGATAAAAATTGGCTTAGAAATTATCCAAGTTTGCAAGAAGGCATTTTGTTCTCTTTTAGGAGTTGGAAAATCTAGAGTAGAAAGAATTATAAACAATTTGAAAAATAATGTTCCCAGCCCAGTGGATAAACGTGGTAAGCATCACAGTCGACCAAATAAAATACCTGACAATATATGTTTCCAATTAGATACGTTTATTAGTTCATTTCCTAAGAGACAATCTCATTACAGTAGATCTGACAACAATAATGTAAGATATATGTCTCCTGAACTTTCAGTTGCCAAATTATATAGAATGTATTTGGAAATATATGAACCTGATGTATATGCATTTTTAAACAGTGAAAATGGTGAACAAGTTAAACCTAAATTGAAATACAACTATTTTGCTAATTATTTCAATAGAAATTTCAACATATCATTTGGCACTCCCAGATCTGACACTTGTCAAACCTGTGATAATTTGAAAAAAATTATTGACAGTGAAAACAATGAAGAAGAAAAAGCTAATCTTGAAGTAGAAAAACAAATTCATTTGCGGAAAGCAGAAGTATTTTACACTTATTTAAAACAGTTATCAGCTGAAGCCAAACAAAATGATTCAATTGATGTTTTAAGCTTTGATTTTCAACAGAACATGCCACTCCCACACATCCCATCAGGAGATGTATTTTATAAAAGGCAACTTTGGTCATATAACTTTTGTATACATTCGGCGGGTACAGGCAAATCTCATTTTTATATGTACAATGAATCATCAGGTAAAAAAGGACAGAATGAAGTGATAAGTTTTTTACATCACTATTTCAAAAACATACTAAGTCCAAGAATAAAAACATTATATTTATTTTCTGATAACTGCAGTGCACAGAATAAAAATAAAACACTATTTCAATACCTATCTGCTGTGGTCAACACTCCAACTTTTTCTATCAAATCAATTATTCACAGATATCCTGAGCCCGGGCATAGTTTTCTGCCCTGTGATAGGTGCTTTGGGCATATTGAAAAAGTACGTCGAAAAGTAGAAAGGGTATTTTTACCAGATGAATATGAAAAAATGGTTTCAGAAACAAATAAAAAATTTAAAGTTGTTCATGTTGATCAAAGTATGATTTTTGATTTTAATAGTTATCTATCTCCATTAGCTAAAAAAGTTATAACTAACAAAGAGAAAGTAAAATTTACTATTATGGCTTACCGATATGTTGAATATACAAACGAAGGTATTTTTTGTAGTACATCTGGAAATTCTACTGCTAAAGAAAAGTACACTTTAAATAAAACTGGCGAAGAACTAACTATAAATGAAAATGGACTATTAAGATTGTACAATGAACCCATTAAACTGAAACTGTCCAAATTCAATGATGTGACACAGTTAGCAAGCAAATATGTGCCCCAAGAATACCAATGGTTTTATATTGGACTTACTGCTGCTGAAGAAAGTAATACCAATAATAGTGATGGCTCTGACTATGAAAATTAAACAACACAAAGTTAAAAATATTTTATAAGTTTTTATTCTTACCTAACTAAATAAAATTTCATAAATATCATTAATTTTCACATTTTATTTGTTGACAATAATATTTTATACTTTTTTTTATTTTCATTTTTATTAGCCTCATGTTGAACAATATTGTATACTTATAATACAATCATTTTTTAGTAAATATTAATAAAATTTGTTAATATTATGTTTTTTTTATTACTAAAAGTTTAAATATTATTTTTATGTTTTTTATTTGTCATATTGTTACTAGGAAAAGTAAAATACTATTTTAAATATTATAATATGTATTTCATTTTATTGTTTATTGTTAAATTTATTATGTTATTGATTTTGATTTTTAAGATTAATGTTTCAAGGTGATTTCTATTTTATTTTTTATTTTTTGTTAAAATAGTAATATAAATATTATTAAAAAAGTGTTTGTTATTATTTAATACTCTTCTTAAAGTAAATTAAAAAGATATATGTAGGTACTTAATAAAATATAACTAATAAAACATGTAATACAATATTTCAAAAAATACTTGATAAATATATAGATTATAGGTACATTAGTTGATGCTTAAACTTAGAAAAAAATAAATTATTATTTAGTTTTTGAAAAACCTTATGGCATATGATGTTATTACATAACATGCTTACGAGCAATAACCAGGTAAGTCCATATGTTTTATTTCAATACTAATTTTATCAAAATTTAATTTGATTATTTTATTGATTAGTATTATAATTATTTATAAAAGTGTCAATAAAGAGTTTTTACTATAGTTTATAATAAATAAGTAAATTTGTTTACAGTAAAATAAAAAACACAATAAATTTTCAAAAAAATGTTTACAATTAATGAGCAAAAAACCAGGTAAGTCCATATGTTTCATACTTCCAAGCTATTTTAAAAGATCAGACATTTATTTAAAAAGCAATTTAACTTAACCCAACTATTTATATGTCATTAAAGATAGTAATGTCATATTTACAAATAAAAATATAAATTATTAAAGTTTTGGTGAAATAAAATGTCTCTCCTGAACAATTTCAAAAAGTGGACTTGTCTCGTTGTTGCACGGAGCCCTTCAATTGATGATATTAAATATATTCCTCTAAGAGTAACAGATTTTAATCATTTTAATTTATTTATCACTGATCAAGATGGTATTGAAATAATATGTAATGAATTTGTTGCATATTTAATTTTATATTAAATGGATAATAAATATGAAATTACATTGTTTCATTTAAATGATAATAGCAAATCAGAGTCAGTACTTCCAATACCTATGAGATGTTTAATTATAGGTTCTTCTGGATCAGGGAAAACTAATTTATTATGTAATATTATTATTAAGTATTGGATTCATTTTGAAAATCTTTATATCTTTACAAAAAATATAGAGCAACCAATTTATGAAAGTATAAAAGAAGAATTTGCAAATTTGAATAATGTAGAGGTATATTATATAACTAATGAAGAGATAATATTTGTTGATGATTGTAAACCAGATAGCTTAGTCGTTTTTGATGATTATATTTTAGATAAACAAGATAGAATAAAAGAATATTTTATAAGATCAAGATCAAAAAATATTTCATGTATTTATGTAAGTCAGAATTATAGTTTATTAGATTTAAAAGCAATCAGAACAAATTGTAATTTTTTAATTGTATTTAAGCAGTCAGATTTTTATATTAGGAAAATATGGAAATATTTTTTGAGTAATGATATAGTTTTTGATAAATTTAAATGTTTATGTTCAACTTGTTGGAAAAATAAGTTTGGGTTTATTTCAATTGATTTAACAGGTATACACATTTATAATAGATTTAAAAAGATATGAATTTAGACATAAATATTAACGCAAACGTCAACGCATAACGTAAACGCATAACGTCAATATGAATTTGCTTATTAAAATTTTTCATATTAAATGGATATAAAAGATACGAGGAATATTTTTTTTAAAAGAGAGGAGGAAAGTAACGAAAAGTAGAAAAAAAGGAGACTTTGTAATGAAAAAAGGAGAGTATATAAAGTCGGTTAAAGAAGCAGATGAAATAATTAAACTTGAAGATAACCTGAATAAGGAGTTTAAAAATGCAGCTTTAAGGAACATATATATTGAAGAGGAAAAAGAGAAATCATTTGGACCTGTGACGAATGGATTAAAAAATATTGTAAATGCAGTTAATGAAGTTAAAGAAATAAATATTAAAACTGATGAAGATATTCGAAAAGCGATAATACCAACTTACACAACTCCTTATAAACCACGTAATCCAGAATTACTAAGACTAATGGAAGATATGAATACACCTAAACGTTATCCAATAAAAGTTACACCACAGTCTCCTTTGCCTAAAGATGTAATAATATTAGATGAAAATGCACAGAAATATTTACCTACTTTAGAAAAAACTAATAGTTTTGGAATATATTATAATGATGATACTGAACAACATATGATCGGAAAATGTCCAATAATTTTTGATTTAGATGATATAATTATAAATGGAAAAAAGCATATCATGACCCCAGGTATGTGGAGATTATTAACTCATACAGAAGTTACAAAACCAGGCTTTTACACAACAGAAGATTTTGAAAATTATGAAAAAATATTAATTGAAACAGATTCAATATATCAAAATAATGATAGTAGCAAATCTAAACCTAGACCTAAATCAAGTACATCTGCTAAATATAATGAGATGATTAAACCAATTTGGCAAAAGATTAGACCATCAACACCGACATCACCAAAAATAAAAGTAGAGATAATAAACCACACATTTTAACAGGAAAAGGTTTAATGAAATATACAGAAGATCATATTGAGTATAGATATATACATAATTTAAATGAGTTATTAAAGAGATTATATTTTATCGCTAGTGAAGAAAAAGCATTCCATACAAATTTTTATAATGAAAAAATTGATATTATACATTTTTTTAGTTCTGAGTTGGAAAAATTAGCTAGTACTCCACAAGGAATTGAGTATTTAATATCTTATGTATCAAGTTTGCCTGAAAAATTTATAGAAGGATCAGGTCTTATGAATAATCTTTTAAATAGTAAATTTATGCCAGAAATACATTGGCCTGGTTATAATTATCTTGGTCCTTTTACTGACTTAGAAAAAAATAAAAAACCAGTAAATAAACTAGATCTGGCAGCAATGGAACATGATTATTTTTATAAAGAACATAAAGATATTGAAACAAGACATATTGGAGATAAAATTTTAGAAAATAAACCATGGGATAGGTTTTTAGCCAAAGATGCATCTATAGGTGAAGAAACAGCTGCTTATTTCACTACAAATGCGATGAAAGCAAAAAGGTATTTTGGTATGAGTTTAAAATTGAAATGAATTTTATTTCTATTAAATGGATTTAGATTTGAGTGATTCTCAAGTAAAAAAACTTGTAAAAGCTTATAAAAAAAAAATTTATAATAATAATATTTATTGTTACCAAATTAAATTTAATATACAAAACATCTTATAAGCAATAATTAATTAATTTTTGGTTCTCTTTTCAAAATCAAAACTTGTGCGAAAAGAGAGAATAAGTGATCAAAGTCTTAAGTGCGATTAAGAAAATGAAAAATAATACAAAAAATTAAAGAAAAAAAAAAGAGAAATAATAATAACAATATACATAAGGATAATAATTACAGTAAGAAGTATATAATCAATAAGAAAAATTAATATGCAGTATACAATACGTTTACAGGCATTATTGCAACAAAACATTATTTATATATTTTTTATACATTTATATTATTATATTAGCATATGGCTCCGGCAAGCACAAAATAATAAATAAGTAAAAAAAATATATAAATTACAATAGTATAAACTAGAATAATAGTCATAGAACAAATTAAAAGACTTAGTACTAATTAAATTATATAGTTATAAAAAAGTCAAAAGAAAGCAATTAAAATTAAGAATTAAGTTTGGTAATAGTAATTTGGTAACTCATAGTTTCATTGTTTTAATTGATATTTCCTTGGTCACAGTCGCACTCCCAGTTTTTCCATCCATTCGATACCCTCCTCGCTGGCTGTGTGGATTTCCTCTATACCTCCCGGGAACTTCATTGACGGGCATTCTTCGACTATATGTTTAATGGTTTGTTTTTGTCCGCAGTTGCATAGAGGGGATTCCACCATTCCCCACTTATGTAATAGATAATTGCATTTTCCTTGGTTGGTTCTAATGCGATTTAGCGTGGTCCATAAGGCTCGTGGTAAGTTGAAACCTGGTACTTTTACCGTTGGATCCTCAACCAGTGATGAATTTCTTACCTCACACTCTAGCCAAATCTTTCTCCATTCAGCCTGTAATTCCCTAGCGGTTATATCTTCATCCCAAACAGGGCGTCTAGATTTTAGCCTTTTATTTGGGTGATGTTCTATGTCGTTATAGATAGGCAGTTCAGTGTTCTTTTTAACTTTATTGATAATATTTTGTGTAGCTATTTGTCTACGTATTTCCGGAGGGCCAATGTTTGAAAGTACGGGAAGCCATTGAGTTGGAGTGCTTCTTACTGTACCCGTGACTATTCTCATTGCTGCATTTAGTTGAACGTCAATTTTATTGCAGTGAGCACTTCTTGTCCACACGGGAGCGCAATATTCAGCTACACTGTATACTAAGGATAGTACTGAGGTTCTCAGAGTACCTGCGCTGCATCCCCAAGAAGTCCCAGCTAATTTGGATATGATATTGTTTCGTGATTTTATTTTGTTTTTTGTTGTTTCTAACTGTTGTCTAAAAGTAAGCGCCCTGTCGAGTTTGATTCCGAGATACCTAGGACATTCTTCATTTGCGATGTTGACTCCACCAATTTTTAGTTTAAGTTCTCTATTTGCCTCACGGTTGTTCAGGTGGAAGGCCACTGCTGTAGTTTTATTAGCATTTAGATTGAGATGCCAGTTTTTGAAATAATTTTGTAAAGTGTCTAGA